GTCCATGGAGGCCACATTTTTACAGTAGCCCAGGACGGACAAAACAAACACTGGTTCAAGATTGGGCTGTTCGCAAGTTTCGCGACCGCCATAGTTTCTTATTATTTGCTTGGAACAAGAAGGTGAAGCGAGGGGGTTGCAATCTGCAACTACACTGCCGAGTGCCCAAACCGTCTTAAGTTAGAGGTTTTACATGTTTAAGTTGGAAAGTTCTGGATGGTTTTTAATAAAACAAAATTGCCTCTATCTTTTTTTTTTTTTTGGACTAACTTTACACTTACATTAAGGTGTCATACTATTATTACTATTAAGATAACTCATGAAGTATTTCTGGAACCATTTAGTCTTAACAGCCTTTTCCACAACTTGCCCCATCCACTACTTCAGGTAATGACACCCTACATTTCCCAGATGGCTTTTAATAACAACCAAATAATGTGCCTGAACATGAGTTCAACTGAGGCTTTTAAATGTTATTATAGTCAATTTTATCTGTGCAAGACATATCCCAACAAGTGAGCCTGTCATCTCCATTAAACACCAAACAATGACACAGGCCCAGAATTGCAGCATTCATGATGAGTAGCTAATGTAACAGAGCTAAACTGTTTTAATGTGGAGCCTTTAAGACCACCCACACAATGAGCTGTAAAACCTGACTAAGCACTTTTGCACAATGTGCCTTGTTAATCCTGACCATCCACACTGCTGCCGAACATTTTTTTAATGCTCACATCACGTGACCGTTGAAGTTAGCATACTGTAGTACATTGCCACTTATTCACATATCAGTCTATTACTGTAAGCACCAGAGAGACAATTGATTTTAGATATACTCATATCACTGTGATAATTGCAGCAAGAGTGGGAGAAAAATTAGGTGGGACAATTAAATCAAGCCTATTCTCAGGTTTTAAGGCCAAATGCAATTTTCCACCTTTATGTGGCAATCCATGGGGAGGCGGTAATTGTATTGATTGCTGCCATTAATTAGGGGAAAGCAGTGTAATCTGGGGAGAGATGTTGAAATAATTCCCTTTAAATGTTTCAGAGTGGAGCCGGGCCAATCAATCAACTAGGGCACCGTCTTCTGGCGAGCCTGACACTTGAGTGAGGTGTTTATTAAAGAACAAATAAGCAATCAGTGATTACCACTCATAACAATCAGCCACTGAGATATCACTGTGAGAATGAGCAATCATTGCCTCTCATAGTCTTAGACAAGAGCGGACTAAAAATAGACAATGTAAACACAGTGGTCGGGGGATCTGTAGGCATGAAGATGAAGGGGATTCTGGGACAAACCCGGCTGTTGAAAACATATGTTTTCATGAGTGCACAGGAGGCAGAAAAGCTGTATATCATGACCTGATCTAAAAATGTATCGCAAAGTGAACATTTTCCTTGAGAAATTGCAATGGCTTGTAATTACATCAAATCACAATAGTTAGAGACTCTGTCCTCTAAGCAGACAATCTAGAGTCCCGCCCAGTTTTGGCAAACATTTGGTTAAAGTGCACTCAGACACAGAAACTCTCCCCTGACCGTGTAGTCCTGACCTTTCTGGAAGGCAGCGGGATTAAAAAACACTTTCCTGTGCAGGTTTAATAAAGTAAAAAAACATTATTGTTAGTTTAGCTGGATTAAAGAGGATGGAGACTCCAAGTATTAGAGCCTCAACAACACATTCGCAGGCTGATATAGCGTTATAGCAGATATAGAGATATTTTATTTAAGCCAAAGTAGCAACACAACACCATAAAAATACTAATAATCAGGTTTTCTATTCACATTTATACTTTAATGTACTACAGGGAGTTTTTTAACTGGTTATGAGACAAGCTCAATTTAATACTGATGCCTCTATGTGGCCTACATACACTAACAAGAGCATATAGTTATCCTTAATGCCTGCCACTGGGTCAGATTTTTCTCCTTGAAATCAATGAAATGAGTCGGTGGAAACACTACAGCTTTTGTCCACAGGGGCCACCAGAATCAACACAAAATGAAAGTTCCTTGTAGCTGCTGGAGAAGTACAAAAGTATTAGCTTATGAGCTTTAAAACACATAGGTCTTCATCAGAGGAGGAATTGTGCGGTTGTAATGGAGATAACCTAATTGTCCTGGTGTAACCTAGTTTCAGCATGGAAATTTTGGAACAGTTTATGTTTGATAATAGTTTATTTTTATAAACTGTATAATATCTTTACTTGGATGCATCTTAATCACAGTGCTTGATAGTGTTTTCTTATGACGTTATGTGTTTAAATAAAAAGAATATCAGGGAATATATTGATGCCAGATTTTTCTTATTTTGAAATATCAGTAACTATCAGTATAACTGGTTTTGCATTTAATATTCATAGAAAATCAGGAGTTGCCAACTGGTTATTCCATCAACAAAACAATCTTACAGTACACTGTGATGGCACGGTGCGGTATGTCTCCTGCCCTCCTCGCCAATGTGTTTCACAAGTTGACCCCTCGAGCATCTGAGGGCCCCCTTGAGAGTCTTCAAGCAGGCAGAGGGGATTAAATCAGAAACTCAATGATTCTCTAAAAAGGTCAGTGCTTTCATAGGGTTTTCATTCTATTAAGCCTTGAGGTTGAATAACTCAAGTCCTCACCAACACCGCCACTCTGCCTCCCTAAGGCCAATCAGGGGCTACACAGGAGGGCAAGGAGAGGCTGCGGTTGGTGGAAGCCACCGGGGGGAGATCAAAGTGCTGCAGCCGTTAGACCTGCTGCTGTTTGCTCTCTAATGTGCTCCTCTGCCACCACTCTTTCTCCCACCTCTGCCATCTCTGGCATGGGAGGGGTTCTGGCCTCTGACGCCAGCACACACACAAGCTTGGTACTGTCAAGCTGTGCAGGAAGTGGTGCTGAGTTGAATTAATTAAAGGGTGAGAAAGCCGGGGTGGCTGAGACCTATTACAATCTGGTGCTTGATGCCACTTGAGAGCAGACACAGGTCTTTGAGGACTTGAAGGACAGGAGGGACCTCAGGCAGCAGAGGGCTTTTGTGCATGTTGCTGTAGGGTCAGACGTGCTGATGCAAGGGCGGTTTAACTGCTATCACACGTGTATGGTCTGAGTAATAACACTCAATGTGAAAGCATACAGTATGTCGCTTTTTATGATGTACACATTTCAGTCCTGTGAGGCAACATCTGCCAGTGCTAGCTGTACAAAATCATACAGTTTTATGTTGTCTTTGTAAGTGACTTAATTATTACAACAGACGACAATATAACGCACAATAGGTGGTGTGACAGATACATGAATCTGGAAGGATTAACACAGTGAAGAGCAGTAATCCTGCCAAAATGATATCTCTCTCTGTGATGCACGCACACACACACAAACACTTAAGATGACAAGTGTAAGCGGACAAATTATGCAAAGGTAAAAGAAATCAATGCAGCGAGTGCACAGCTGAAACATACAGGATATTAAAAAGAGATGAAGAGAAACTCTAATTCCCAAGTTAAAATCTAAAAGCAGCCTTGACAACCTACAGCACCTGACTGGCATAATATAACCAAGCCAAATGACGACATGTGCGACAACATTGCAAAGAGACCTCTCCCTACGTCAGCCGTGTATTAAGAATAGTACGAATGAGACAGCACTGCATTAATCAAGCTATTCTTAAACAACATTCTCTCCTGTGACGGCCATTCAAGATAACAAGACACACACCTAGATGTATACATATATATATATAAACATACAGATTCACATCCCAGATCTAAATGAAAGACATCAGATTAGAGTGTATTTGCCATGAAACATGAAGTAAAAAGAAAAACAAATGGAACAAAGATGGCTCCTCAAAGAGAGACAGAGAACCACAGAGAAAAAGCCTGATCAAATTGGCTTGGTCTGAAATCTAAATCTCAAGTCCTGATTTCCCCCAAAAACAGTCCCTGCTGGAACCTGTCACCCACACAGAGTCCTCTACAGTGGTGTGGCACACCAAGTTGAAATGGAAGGAAATCACTTTTGGCATGTTTCCTCTTTAAAACCCACACTTTGGATGACCCGGGAGAGAGTATAAATCATTCTGTATGATGTAAAAAATCATGGTCCCCCCGGCACATAAGAAATGGTTAATGATCTGAGGTAGCTGAGAGGCTGGTGCACCCTAGTGGTGACTGCTGAATCGAGCTTTAAAGTCCTTCACACCCACTCTGCTTCTATGTGGAGGCTGCACTGATGTTGGGTGAAGCTGCAATGTCAATATTTCATTTTGCAATTTGAAATCCAGTACAGCAGTAAGCCTCGGATGTCCACACTGCCCCATGTACCAAACCACAGCTTCCCCCCATAATAATAGCAGAGGGAACATGACACAAGGCTCATAATCCAGTTAATGGGGAGACGGGGGGGGGCTGGTGGCGATATTCCACATTCTCTGAATGTCAGAAATGAGTGTGGAAGGAAACGATTAGTGGTGTGAGATAAAGAGCGATAAAGGAGGGCAGAGCCGACCACAGCTCGCAGTCCATCAGCTGTTCTTGGCACTGTCAATTAGGTAGGACTTTGGTGATTACAAGAATTGGAAATTGCAGTGTTTGCCGCAGGCCAGAGATGGGCCTTGCTTTATGTTTCGACTCACAATTAGTGGGTAAGTAATACTGTAAGTGATTACAGCTTATCGGCAACCATCAGCATGAGAAGCCATTCCACCCCTCTTCACGTCGTGTCATAAAATCTGTTTTAATTCACTGTGCGTGACTCTCTGATTAGGTACCCAGCCTACAGTGGTACAGTGAAGGGTTAAGGGAGGCTGTATTAGTACAATGAGTCTATGGGGGAGGACAGCTACAGGCAAGGATGTGCGTAGAAGACAAATTTGAAACAGATTCAGCCCACATCTCTGTTGGCTATGGTTTTCTTCCCAAACCCAGGTTTGGAAAATGTGACAACACTGCTTAATTAGTTCAAATCTTGCACTCTCTGTGACTCTCACTTCATTGCAGCAGTGTGTTTACCTGTGAGCTTCTTCACGGGCTGGAGCCTGACACTGATGGTCTGGTGGGTGAGCAGCGGGGAGGAGGGCAGCGAGCGTGACACGCCCTCCATTATGCGAATGTGCTGCATGCCCTCAGTCATGGAGAGCGGGGGCACGCCGTAGTCTCCTTCAAAGGCACAGTCACTGTCTATGCTGCCACCTGCAGGGTGGGAGGGAAAACAAAATAGTATGAGATGCTTTTCTCTGCTTCCAATAGTGCATTAATTTAATTATATTCTGATGCTGTTTGGACTAATGAAGAGTTCATTTCTGCAAAGGAAGCATGTAAGAAAGTATTAAACTATGTAGAAAACTAATAAAAATAACAAGTCTAATGTTACTGATGCAATCTTCTCTGATTACATTCTGCTGATACTTAATTGTATTGACAGAAAATGACAGAAATGATTTAATAATGGAATAAAACACAATTAAGATTATGCTTTCAAAAACTCCTCTCTGACAGTGACCAAAGGGTAGTGTTCTGGGCTTCAACTAACAATTACGTCCATTATCAATTAATTTGCAGATTATATCTTTTTAATTAATTTATTGTTGAGTCCACAAGGTCTTAGAAAACAAATCAGAGACGGTCATCACAATTTCCACGGAGCTTGAGGTTGTGTTTGCAACAGTTCAGAGAGTTAAATTTTACAATAAAGTGAAACAGAGAAAAAAAGCAGCAAATCCTCACATACAATGAGCCGGAAGGAGCAAATGTTTGGGATTTGTTCTTGATAAAAGACAAACGATTGACTATCAAAACCCAACTAATGTATGTGTATGTTTCAGCATATAGTGTTTATTAGTGGGCTACTAGTGTTTCTATTTGTTCACCCCTACAGAAAGTGTATGACAGAGAGATGTGAGTACTCTGATAGTACCTCGGCCTAGTCCCTGGATTCTGACCTCAGTGCAACACCATATTGAGTATAACAAGATTGGCGTGACCCAGAAGAGAGAAAAGCCCTGCAGGCAACACGTGTTGTTTACTTTCACTGTTATAAACTACAGCCTGTCTGACCTCTGTAAGCCTTACAGTAACACAATACCCTATCATTTTAATATAATAAAGGAGGATTTTCTAACCATCTGAAATATGTTTAAACAATCCAAAAAAAGAGCACAGTCATGACCATGAGAGAGCATTTTATTTATAAAAAAAGGCTCGCACAATGAGCGGTAATTACAGACGGAGCGCAACTATTCTCCATCACTCACCCACCCATTTTCCTCTCTTGCTTCAAAAACCACAAATTATGACAACTTATGGGTTTTTTTATTTATTTATTTTTAAACTTCACACACATTCCCCGGTGAACAAAACCCAGCCAGCTGACTGTAAACACAACATCCATTTTGTGAATCAGCTCCGCCTCAGACTGCCCATTTCCCTGCAGACGGAGCTGTAAAAGCAACTGGTCAAGCAACAGTCTCGCATCAGATAGCAGCCGCCACAGTGAGACATGAAGCCATTATCAGACACCGGTCTGTGACAATTCCCAGAGGAAGCCCATATGACGGTTGGGATGGGGTCAAACCAGTTGTTGTAATGCAAATACACTAGTATAGAAACACTTCCACACATGCAAGAAATAACAAAAACACATCCACACATCTCTGTGTGGCTCCAGCACTGCTGGAGTCAGTCCATCCATTCACTGGGGAATGTCTGTGCAAAAGCAAAAACAACAGCCAGAGCAGCGGTTACATCCCAAAGCATGGAAATTCTCCTCGTGTATGCAAAGCCTGGTGTGAATACCAAGGGGGAACTTGGTATTCTGGTAGCAATTATCGGTAGTCAAGATCCAACTCAATTTTAATGCATTCCATCCTGGATGAAAACACACAATTATACTACTATTAACCAATAACTCTACCAAAAATGGAGCGCATTCTGGTACACAATCTCAATACTTAGTAAATTTCTTTTCTGAACAGCCTCGTGAAAACTGACATGAACTGTCGTACGGTGAAGTAGAAATCAAGAGGTGCGATTTAGGGCAAAGATGGGAGGGTGGAGAGGGAGGAAAAGCCGCACTTCAGTGGTGAGATCCAGAGAACAAAAGCGTAGAGGGGGTAATAATGGTGTTTTATTTTAAACTGCGATGAGAGACATGTTTAAGGGGCCACTCCATGCCTCGAAATAAACACAAACACCTACTCATCGAGGTGTACGGCTCAAAACATGCACGAGAAGGGAAAGAAAAAAGGCAACATTAAATTATAATTGCCCAAAACATTTCCTGCCAAGCACTGACATTCCTGTTGTTGATAAACATCTACTGTCGTATACAGCCTATTTCCCCCTAGAAGTAACTCAGCCTTACAGGCAAAATTACAAGAATATCAAATTCAAACAGTTCTCTCCCTGTAAATATAACTTCATTTCCAGTAGTCATAAAGTTTTCTGCTATAAAGTCGTGTAAAATACAACCTGGCAAACAAGGCTGTGAGTTTCTACTGTAAAAACATTAAGGGAGAAGAAATGGAGTCTGGAACGAGACCGCCAGGAGAGAAGTATTACAGGAAATGGAAAGGTAAAGGTGGTAAAAGAGCTTGCACGCTGTTTCTCAGCAACTTGGCTTCTTATTCACTCACATAATTCACATTCACGCCTGGTAGAGTGCTTAGTACACTGCACAATAAGCGATGGAAGAAAAGACAAGCTATTGCTGAAGGAGCTCAGATGGCTCTAACAGGCTAAACTAAGGTCAGGGCTCCAGACTTAGCTTACTTATTACGTTACTCTTCTCTTCTCTGACATGTGATTGTTTTTTAAACTTGATGTGGGAGATTTTGTGTGATTTTTGCTTACCTTGGCCGACGTGGCTCAGGTGAGGGTCTAGACTGGGCGAGCGGGGGTCTGCCAAGTCCTCGCTCCCACCATCTACAGATGAGTAGCAGAAAGAGAAAGACAGGGAGTGAGTTCGGTGATGCTGGTAGCGTGGCAAGGAGGTGCGGGCCAGCAGAAAGGCCACATCCTCCTCTCCAATCAGCCAGGTGTGGGAACGGAGGACCCCCAGCAAGCTGCTCACACACAGACCCTCCACACCCTTCCTCCTGGGGCCCAAACGGCCCCTTATGGTGGCGAAGGGGGACCTCGCTGCCAAGTTCCACTTTTTCCGACTCCCCATGGTTAGACTAAACAGTCAGTGAGGCACTATCTCTAGAGCCTGCCCATGCAGATAACAAAATAGTTTACATTACAGTCATTGTTGCATGCACAGAGTAACGTGTTAGAGCCACAATCATAGAGCTCACTGGGCTCTATGGTTCAGTGAGCGAGGGACTAGCAGTAAAATAGTGGGCGTTTCCCAGGATAGATCCACATACGGTTAATGATATGAGGATCAATTACGCCCAAGGGAGCAGGCAGGCAGAATTAGCCACAGTGGATGGAGCTGAGAAGAGGGGAGTGAGGGGGGGGCATCACTGGGCAGCACAGTCAGTGTCACCAGGGGATTGTTTCATAATCCTGTTCAAGTGCGGATAGATCTACTGTAAAGCACGACAGGCCGGCAGAGGAGGAACAAATGATTTACACTCAGAATAAATACATCCCACTGGAATTAAGAGCGCTATTAATAAAATCTAAACTAAGATGATGTATGAAAACTCGCCTAAGCCAATGGATTTTCCATGTGTAGAGGGATCAAAGATTGTTGCATTAAGTAGAAAGACAAAAAGCATCGTTATCGCAAAAAAGGATTGTATATTTTGGCAAGCCCCGCATTGTGTTTCAATCAAAGAGCTCACCATCAGCCCAGAAAGCCCAAACAAATACTCAAGTATTATCTCTCCCATCGCAGATTCACACACTGTGTGCCAGTAGCTACACAGCAGGCTAGATTGGCTCGCTGGTGGAAAGATCAAGCTTGTCGATGGACAGATAGAATAAGCCGTGGGGCATGATTGTGTGAGAACTGGGCCATCCTGAGATTGACACTGATTGTGGAAGGGAGTCCTCTGCAGAGGTTTTTCAGTGCTCGCTTCCTGACCTGAGCCACCATGTCAGGATGTGTCAAATTAATAGGTATACCAACAAAATGTGACATGTTATGCAACCAAAACATATCATTTTGGAGTGATTTTGAGAAATTTCAACAGTGCAACCTTTTCATTCTTGATTTACAGACAATACCATAGATCCTGCTGCTAACACCTCTACTCTGACACCTCCTTTTCTTGCATGTTCAACACTAACAAACCAACCAAAAATAGATTCTCACCTCGTATACCTGATGAGCCATATCGTCTAGTAAAATCAATGTCACGAAAATCAATATGGGCTTTGAAGACGATGTGCTCTAGCTACGAGTGCTGCTTGCACAGTGAGCCATGAAAACACACACGCACATGCAAGCACGTACAAAGAGTGTGACGCTGTGAGCGGAAAGCTCAATGATATACAGTAATAGATTTTGCACACTTGCTATGCTCCTGCGGTGTATCTGATTAGCACCTTAGGTGACGTTTTGAGCAGCTTGCTTGTCATCAGACGAGTTCAGTAGCTCGAAATGTCATATCTGAAGCGTTAATAATTTAAATGAACAGAGGACAATAAACTGTAAATTAGTTACAATAGATCATGAGTTATTGGGCTTCATCTTCTTCGGCTGCGTGGTGATAATGTTTAATTTTAAAAACTGAAACAGTGCTCCTGATTGTGACACATGCTGTATTACACATAGCAAGTAGCTCTGGTGTTAAAGAAAAAAAAATGAAAAAGAATTGCTGCAGGCTTTGCTGGAAATGAAACAGCTTTTATTGAGGTTCAATTACATTCTACCCACAACACAACAATTGGACATTAAACCATCAATTTAAATTACTTTGTTACTGAGGTTTTTGGAGAATTCCGTACAGCAACAAACGTGGCTCTACCTCTTTACGGCAGTCTCCTTTTGCTCCACCACCAGTTCTTTTTAGGCTTGGGAAACGCATCTTTGTACCTCTCTCATTCAAAAGAAAACGCTTCTATTCTTCTGTGCAGATTGCTCTCTTGTTACCAGTGATCACAGTACAATGTCCTGCCACACAGATCAATGGCCTATTAAGCAGGAAACACGAAAGGGGAGGATCTATGGTTGACAGAAGACAGAGACATGTTTTCATTCCAGCCTCAGAGACAAACAGTGGACACCATTCTACTTCCTTACTGAACATCTGTCAACCACTTGTGTCGAATACAGCTGAACACAGCTCAGTATATCAGTATCCGATTCAGAGTCAGAACGGACAATCTTCACTCTGTAACCACATCCTATAAGGCTGTAAAATCAAAGCTCTCTCTGAAGGTAAAAGACCATCTCCTAAACTGAAGAAATAATGGTGCACTTACTCTGTTGGCTATTCTTTGGAGCTGTAATGCCACGGTGCTGTGTTAGGATGTCAAAGGAGCAAGCCAATTTCGCACTTGGACAAAGAGTCATTACGGGAGAAGTCAGCGTGACATCTGATAGTGATCCCATGGAGCATGGCGGAGAACTCTGCTATCATTATCGTTCAGACTGACTTTGATGAACCTGCCGTGTTCACAGTGTTCAATGTGACCTCGGCTCCAAAAAGAGGCTTCTTTCCCAGGTACTGTCTGAGGATGATTACTATAAATTGTGGTCTTTTGTGTGATCACTTTTAGCAAAAAAAAAGAAGAGCCTAAAAGACAGAAAGCTAACTCATCACTAGTTACGCATAGGGGTTTTTTGATCTTTACGCTGGATGTCCAAAAGCTCTGAATAACTAATCTGGAGGAGAGTACGTGGAACAAATTACGATTTGAAATGGATTCAGTTCTTTTTCTGTGACTGATCGATCACGTCACACCAAAAAGGAACCAATTGACTCGCTCCAAAAGTGCAATCGATGACCGTCTTTTACTTGTGGGACCTTCAATGGAAAGAGAAAAGGATTGCAACTGAGCCATGTAACGGAGACACATCCTGGATATTAGCAGCCCAGAGAATTACATCCTTCAGTTCAATGACTTCACTCAGTGACAGTGATTCAGTGTTCGGTTCAGTTCCTCTCTGCCTTATTTCTTACCTTTGCTGATTGCCTCCGTGGGGCCCTGATGTTGTTGCGTTTGCCAACTTGTTGTCAATCCCCCGTTTCTCACCAGGAAGCAAACTAGGGCCCCTAATTAAAACACCCACATTCTCCCTGTTGCTCTCCATGTCACAGCTAATGTTTCTCACCATTCATCAGAATAACATTCCAGGTTAGGAACAGAGGGGCCACAAAATCTTTCAATGAGTAGTTCCAAAGACTCTTCATCCAATTTATCAGTTTCTCTGTAATCCACAACACCAGGCACGGAAAGTCTTTGTACTCTGTACTGCATAACTTAAAAACAGACAGAATAATACATAATTTTGTACGCTTAGTAGAAAAAGGGATGCATTTATAATTAAGTGCATACCATCTTTGCGTTATACTAGACTCTTATTGCACACTTTTTTCTTGTGAGAGCTAAATTATCTCAAATCCCTATTAATCTTATGTTGAAACAGAGGAATCATGTGCGAGCTACGGTAATAAAACACGCTGACATTTATTGAGCACACGCTAGCCCACACACAAATAAAAACGAATGTGCAAACCATATATCACACAAAGTTGTGGTGTGTGAGCAGATGTACCACGGATAATTTACCAAAATAGAGACTGATTTAAAGAGTGCTGAAAAGTTTGAAATTGGAAAAGGTAAATGTCAGGCAGTGAATCAGTGCTGTGTGCCGATTCCTGCGGGGAGCAACAATCGGTGCTGCCAAACTGCAACTTCTGATGTCACCAGAGAAAAGACTGGGATGTGACAGCCCTTGCGCCTTTGAGCAGGGCACTTAAAAACCACCAACTATCAAGTGGACGTCACAGAACTTGAGGAAAAATGTTATCCAGGTAATCACAAAGTTTAGGTACACATAATGGCCCATGATTCCTTTACTTGCATTATAATTGTTCAATCAATGAAACAATTTAAAAGAGGCTTATCACAATTTCTTCAAACTATTGGTTTTATCAGACCAACAGCCCAAAACCAACAAGTATTTATTTATGCTTCATAAATGACTGCTTTGCAAAATTGTTATCGTATTAAGTTTCTGCCAATCACTTAATTGTTTCAGCACTATTTGTGTCTCAAGTTGCAGAGGTAAACATTTTTTCACCGTACCGCTTTTTGCTAACCATCAACTCATATAACCATTCCATGCAAGGTGTGCGGTTGTGTGTTGAAAGGGAGTTTGGTTCCAGTCAAACACTTCCTTGCTCCTCTGCTTTGACATTCATTTAAAAGGAGGATTTTAATCATATTCACAACAAAGTGGAGCATCTTAATGAATCACAGCAGCACAGTCAGTAGCACTGAGCCATATGAGAGCGCAGACATCTGCTCAGTTGTAAAGTTGGCGGACATCTTCATTAGCATCAGTTTAAGCTAACATAAAAATGCATGCATACTCCGAAGGATACACACACGCACACGCACACGCACACACACACACACACACACACACACACACACACACACACACACACACACACACACACACACACACACACACACACACACACACACACACACACACATCTTCTGTGAGAGAGCCTGTCAAGGGTTTTCTCTCTTTGCAGCACTGAGCCAGCCCTGGTCTACCACAGGAAGTGGAGGGTTCTGACATCCTGCCAATGTAAGATAATAGGGAACTGCGTTCATCCAAACCACAACAAACACATTTACTGTATATGCGAACACACACAGCCATACACAACATGGAGAAAGGCTGATATACTGAGTTGAGACCAAAATTATTCTTTGCAGGGGATATTTGAGTCCAGATTTCAACAGAGTCAATAACAGGGTTCTACTTTGATCTTGAACAGTGTAGCTTG